GTCCCCTCAGCTCCTATCTCTGTATGGCCTGGCTTTTCCTAGGTTATGATCGCAGAGCAAGGATTATTATAATATTAAAGAGTAATTGCTACTAATTAATGATTAATGATATTCATATATAATCATGTCTATGATCTATATCTAGTATAGCTATTCTTACTTTATATATTTTATTATACTGGAACAGCTCGTGCCCTCGGTCTCTTGCCTTGGCACCTGGGTGACTTGCCACCTACATAAACGGACAAGGGGGTAAATAGGTCGGGCATGGTGGCTCACGCCTGTAATTCCAGCACTTTGGGAGGCCAAGGCAGGTGGGTCACTTGAGGTCAGGAGTTTGAGACCAGCCTGGCAAACATGGTGAAACCCTGTCTCCACTAAAAATACAAAAATTAGCTAGGCGTGGTGGCACACACCTGTAATCCCAGCTACTCAGGAGGCTGAGGCATGAGAATTGCTTGAACCCAGGAGGTGGAGGTGACAGTGAGCCAAGATTGTGCCACTGCACTCCAGCCTGGGAGACAGAGTGAGACTCCATCTCAAACAGAAAAACCAAAACTGACAAGCGGAAAAGCAAAGTAAATTTTTGTTCTAAGTTTGAATGCCAACATAAAAAAGGAAGTATAGGATAAAACTGAAGGCTTAAGCAAGTCGTAGAAGATTGATGGAAGATTAATCTCGTGAAAGAAATTTTGTGTGTGTGATCAAGTTGGTTAAAATTGGAAGGGAATTATTTATAAGTTTTTTTTTAAAATGAGCATTAATATCAAAAGCACTGATGCAAGGCCAGAGGCTGAGCCTGTGTGGGAATAACAGGTTTTTCCCTGCAGTGATCTGCTCTTTAATAGAAAATCCCAAGAGGTAATGAAAGATTTATGGAAATCTTACTTTGTGTGGTCAAAGCTGACTGAGATTTGTTGAATTTGTTTATAATATTTTATTAAAATTAGCTTTCATATTGATAATACATGAATATAAGGTAAAATTTGGTTTTCTCCTTTGAACAAGAATTTAGTGTTGTGTTAATAAGAGATAGTAGGCCAGGCGCAGTGGCTCACACCTGTAATCCCAGCACTTGGGGAGGCTGAGGCTGGTGGATCACGAGATCAGGAGTTCGAGACCAGCCTGACCAACATGGTGAAACCCCACCTATACTAAAAATACAAAAATTAGCCGGGTATGGTGGCGGGCACCTGTAATCCCAGCTACTTGGGAGGCTGAGGCAGGAGAATTGCTTGAACCTGGGAGGTAGAGCTTGCAGTGAGCCAGGATCGTGCCACTGCACTCCATCCTGGGTGACAGAGCAAGAGTCCATCTCGAATAAATAAATAAATAAATAAATAAATAAGAGATAGTAAAAGATTTGTTTACCTTTTGAATAAACTTCAAAAAAAAAAAAAAAGCGGGAGAGTTTGCCTCAGGCTGTCTTTATTGGGTATTTCAATTGTTTAGGAAACTGAGTCTCCTCTCTAATCCAAGAATACAGGTTTTTGCTTTTTGAAATCTTTGAGTTATAATTTTGGCTAAATTAATAACTTAAAAAAATTTTTTTCTTAGAGGCCGGGCGTGGTGGCTCACACCTGTAATCCCAGCACTTTGGGAGGCTAAGGTGGGTGGATCAGTTGAGGTCAGGAGTTCGAGACCAGACTGACCAAAATGGTGAAACCTGGTCTCCACGAAAATTAGCTGGGCATGCTGTTGCATGCCTGTAATCCTAGCTACTCAGGAAACTGAGGCAGGAGAATCACTTGAACCTGGGAGTTGCAGGTTGCAGTGAGCTGAGATCGCGCCGTGCACTCCAACCTGGGTGACAGAGTGAGACGCCATCTCAAAAAAAAAAAAATTGTTAGAGATGGGGGCTCACTTTGTCACCAGGCTGGAGTGCAGTGGCATGATCATAGCTCACTGCAGCCTCAAGCTCCTGGGCTCAAGGGATCCTCCTGCCTTAGCCTCCTGAGTAGCTAATAATATTAGCCTGGGCAACATAGTGTGGCCCTGTCTCTATTTTAAAAAAATATTAAATATTAACAAGGCTGGCTAATATTTGACATTTTTGTTTTTATATAATCAGAGTCACACTATGTTGCCCAGGCTGGTCTCAAACTCCTAGGCTCAAGTGATCCTTCTGCGTTGGCCTCCCAAAGTCCTAGAATTACAGGCATGAGCTACTGCACCTGGCCTAAATTAATGACTTTTATTTTATATTAACCTGTATCCTATTTTGATCATGTGTTTTAAACCTTACTTATTTTAATATCAAGTGTTTTGAACCTTTAATATTTGACATACTTCCCAAAATTAAATTTCAAATTTTAAAAAATATTTGACATACTTCCCAAAATTAAATTTCAAAAAAAAAATTTTTTTTTTTTTGAGACAGTGTCTCGCTCTGTTGCCCAGGCTGGAGTCCAGTGGTGTGATCTCAGCTCACTGCTACCTCTGCCTCCCAGGTTCAAATTCTCCTGCCTCAGCCTCTCGAGTAGCTGGGACTACATGCCTGGCTAATTTTTGTATTTTTGGTAGAGGTGAGGTTTCATCATGTTGGCCAGGCTGGTCTCAAACTCCTGACCTCAAGTGATCCACCTGCCTCAGCCTCCCAAGCTGCTGGGATTACAGGTGTGAGCCACCACACATAGACATCTAAATTAAATTTCAAATTAAAAAAAAATTTGACATATTTCCCAAAATCAAATTTCAAATTTTAAAATTAAGTCTTTTTGATCTTATCTATCTTGGACACAAGAAATAGGAATCCCTGGAAGTCCGAGAGAGAAATATTGGGCTTATTTGGTATGTTAAAATCATATACGGAGCACTGTCAAATAAGAAATGGTGTTTAACTTTCTTTTTTTTGAGATGGAGTCTCGTTCTGTCGCCCAGACTGGAGTGCAGTGGCACAGTCTCAGCTCACTGCAACCTCCACCTCCCAGGTTCAAGCAATTCTCCTGCCTCAGGCTTCTGAATAGCTGGATTACAGGGGAGGGCCATCACACCCAGCTAATTTTTGTAGTTTTAGTAGAGATGGGGTTTTGCCATTTAATCAGGCTGGTCTTGAACACCTGACCTTGTGATCCGCCTGCTTTGGCCTCCCAAAGTGCTGGGATTACAGGCATGAGCCACCATGCCCAGCCGGTGTTTAACTTTCTTTGAGTTATATTTGTATAAATGTGTTATTAATGTGTTCCAAAATTGTATGAGATTCTTAAAATGACATGTCTTGGTATATGTTTTCAGTGATAATGTTGTTAAATTTTTGTATGTCACAGAAATAACCAAGTTTCCTTGTCAGTTGCATCTTTAACCACGGCTGATCTAAGTTTTTTGTCATCCACAGATAATGATTGTTTTACTTTGATTCTCAAAAAGTAGTTTAAAATCAGCTACAGTCCAAAATTGACTTCTTAAGGAAATTCACAGAAAAGGATCCTGACAAGTACTCTTGAGTACAGGTTTCCATTAAATTTATTTATTTATTAAATATTTGTTTGCTTGTGTATGTTTTTTGAGACAGGGTCTCACTCTGTCACCCAGGCTAGAGTGCAGTGGTGTGAACATGGCTCACCGCAGCCTCAACCTCCTGGGCTCCAGTAATCCTCCTACCCTAGCCTCCCGAGTAGCTGGGACTACAGGCATGCACCATTACGCTTGGCTAATTTTAAAATTTTTTGTACAGACAGCCTTTCTGTGTCACTCAGGCTGTTCTCAAACTCCTGATCTCAGGTGATCCTTTTGCCTTGTCCAAAGTGCTGGTAAGATAGAACAGGCAATTAGGGTAACAAAGGGTTAAGGCATAAGCAAAAGAACAGCGGGGCAGCCAGTTCTAGGCAAGATTAGGCAGCACACAGGCCACATCCTCACTCCTGTGATAACGAGACAGAAGTCTCCACTTCTGCCTCTGATTGACCACAGGCGGAGTCTGCACTTCAGCCTCTGATTGGCCACGGGCCAATCCCTTACAGGGTGTAACCAATTGGAAGCCTCTACAGGGCACCTAGGGTGTTACCAAATTCTTTTGGTTTAATAAAAACCCTAAAGAACATTGTAATCAGGGCTACTTGAGCCTGCTCCCACTCTGTGGAGGGTACTTTTGCTTTAATAAATCTATGCTTTCATCTTCTGTTGCTTTGTTTGTGCATTTTGTTCAGTTCTTTGTTCAACATGTCAAGAACCTGGACAACTCACAGTCAAGACTTTCCATCCGGTAACACTAAGACCACAGTCATGAGCTACTGCACCCTGCTTTGGTAACTAAATTTAGAGATCAAACCACTGAACTAAGTAAAAACTTCCAGAACCCTAATAAAGAACTGATGCATTCATGAAGGTTGTGAACCCAGCATGAAGGAGAACAAGAATTATGTAAGACTGAACTGATAGAGGACTAAAATGATTTTTGTGGCTTTTGTTTGTTTGAAACATTGCTGATTCTTTTTATATTTTGTTTTCTAGAAACAAGAAAACTTTTTCTTTTGAGCTATTTATAACTCACAGCCATTGGGCAAAGTATACTTTTGTGAGCAAAATTGAAATATTTACCTTTCTCTCTACCTGATTTCTCCAAAATTTGAACACTATTTGTGACTATTCTTATTTTATTGCAATATAGTTATTTGCATAAGTTCTATAAGAGTATGTTTTCTTTTGTAACTGGGCACATTGAAGACACTGGTAATTTTACCAAGGCTTTGACTGCAACAGCATATTTTCAGGTATGACCAGATTGTTTCGAGGAGTTGGGGTTGACTGTATAGAGCCAGTAAAAAGCCCTTGGAAAGACTGGTCTGGTACCTGGTTTTTATGGCTCCCTTACAAGCTTCCTAACCTTGTGGTGTGGGCGGCAAGCCACGCAGGTGCCAAGGCAAGAGACCAAAGCCACAAGCTGTTCCAGTATAATAAAGAAAACAATTAGAATAAGAATAGTTATATTAGAAATAGAATATAGACATGATTGTATATGAATATAATCAATCATTAGTTTGTAGCATTACTCTTTATTTCATTATTATATTAATCTCTGTTCTATAATTATTACCTGTTCTATACTTATTACCTATGGAAAGCCAGGCCATACAGAATTAGGAGCTGAAGGGACACGGTGAGAAGTGACCAGAAGGCAAGAGTGTGAGCTCTCTATCAAGCCTGGACAAGGGTCACTAGAGGGCTCCTTGGTCTAGTGGTAACGCCAGTGCCTGGGAAAGCACCCATTACTTAGCAGACCTTGGTCTAGCTGTAGTGCCAGCGCCTGGGAAGGCACCCATTACTTAGCAGACCGGGAAAGGGTGTCTCCCTTTCCCCAGGGAAGTTAGAGAACGCTCTGCTTCACCACCTCTTGTGGAAGGCCTGACATCAGCCAGGACTGCCCGCAGCTATCCAGAGGCCTAAATGTCTCCCTGTGATGCTGTGCTTCAGTGATCACATCCTGGTCCACTTTCATATTCCGCTCTGTGCACCTGGCCCTGCCTTCTAGATAGCAGTAGCAGAATTAGTGAAAGTATTAAAGTCTTTGATCTTTCTGAGAAATGCATAGAAGAAATAATGACATAAGCTGTTCCCTCTCTCTCTCTCTCTGCCTCAGCTACCAAATAGGTAAGGGCCTCCTGTCCGGTGGACACGTGACTCGCATGACCTTACCTATCATTGGAGACGACTCACGCTCCTTACCCTGCCCCCCTGCCTTGTATACAATAAATAGCAGCGCAGTCAGGCATTCGGGGCTACTACCAGTCTTCGCGTCTTGGTGGTAGTGGTCCCTCAGGCCCAGCTCTCTTTTCTTCTATCTTCTTGTCTTGTGTCTTTATTTCTACAATCTCTCGACTCCGCATACGAAGAGAAAAACCCATAGGCCCTGTAGGGCTGAACCCTACATTGTGGTAAGGAAAGAATGTCACTGTCTGACAGGCCCAGGAAACTCAAGATATTTGGGACCTTGAGAAGAGAGGAATTCATCCAATTCATACAGGTACTACAGGCACAGGCTGATCATGAATCCTTGGCTTGGCTTCAAAGCCTGGGGAGGTTTTCAAAAGTCCAACCTGAGATTCTTTATGAAAAAGCTCCAGCAGGCCGGGCGTGGTGGCTCAAGCCTGTAATCCCAGCACTTTGGGAGGCCGAGACGGGTGGATCACGAGGTCAGGAGATCGAGACCATCCTGGCTAACATGGTGAAACCCCGTCTCTACTAAAAAATACAAAAAACTAGCCGGGCCAGGTGGCGGGTGCCTGTAGTCCCAGCTACTCAGGAGGCTGAGGCAGGAGAATGGCGTGAACCCGGGAGGCGGAGCTTGCAGTGAGCCGAGATCTGGCCATTGCACTCCAGCCTGGGGGACAGAGCAAGACTCCATCTCAAAAAAAAAAAAAAAGAAAAGAAAAGAAAAAGCTCCAGCAAAGCCAATTAAAAAGAGGCTAACACGGTGAAACCCCATCTCTACTAAAAAATACAAAAAACTAGCCTGGCGAGGTGGCGGGCGCCTGTAGTCCCAGCTACTCGGGAGGCTGAGGCAGGAGAATGGCATGAACCCGGGAGGCGGAGCTTGCAGTGAGCTGAGATCCGGCCACTGCACTCCAGCCTGGGTGACAGAGCGAGACTCCGTCTCAAAAAAAAAAAAAAAAGAGCCTATATGGCCACTCACTGTTCTTATTGCACTTTTTGCAAATAATCTGGCCAAGTATAAGACTAAAACTTATTTAGCAAGAAAATCAGTCCTACTAAGATTTCTATTTGATAGAAATGCAGAACTGGAGAGAGAGAATTAATCTTTCAAAAGTAAACTGTGGCATACCTGTTATTAGATTCCAGCCCTGACCATTGTTTGTGAGATTTTATTGTTTTCCTATAATTTTGACTAAATCTTGATTTATTTCCTGGCCACAAGTCTCTAAAGAAGGACTGGGTTTTAATTTCCTTCATGATGTTTTTAGTTGAGTCCCTGATGGAATAGGGTTTTTTTGTTTTGTTTTTTGTTTTTGTCATTCTGACAAACTCTGGTTGTGATTCTTTTTTTGTTTTTGTTTTTGAGATGGAATTTCGCTCTATCACCCAGGCTGGAGTGCAGTGGTACGATCTCAGCTCACTGCAACCTCCGCTTCCCTGGTTGAAGTGCTTCTCCTGCCTCAGCCTCCTGAGTAGCTAGGACTACAGGTGCCCACCACCACACCTGGCTAATTTTCGTACTTTTAGTAGAGATGGGGTTTCACCACGTTGGCCAGGCTGGTCTCGAATTCCTGACCTCAGGTGATCTGTCTGCCTCAGCCTCCCAAAGTGCTGGGATTACAGACATGAGCCTCCGCATCTGGCCGGTTGTGATTCTTATGTACACTTATATTTGGGCTATCGGTCTCTTGTTGTTTTACTCCTTTTTTTTTTCTTTTTGAGACAGGGTCTGGCTCTGTCACCCAGGGTGGAGTGCAGTGGTGTGATCTTGGCTTACTGTAGCCTCTGCCTCCTGAGCTCAAGGGATCCTCCTACCTCAGCCTCCCGAGTAGCTGAGACTACAGGCACACATCATCACTCCCAGCTAATTTTTGTACTTTTTTGTAAAGACAGGATTTTGCCATGTTGCCCAGGCTGGTCTCGAACTCCTGAGCTCAAACAATCCATCCACCTTGGCCTCCCTAAGCCCTGGGATTACAGGTGTAAGCCACCACACCTGGCCCGTTTTACTCCTGAGAAAACTACGCTCATTGTATTCTGAACACCAAGACGAAGTGGCAGCAGGTATATAAATCAGACGGAGGTCGCATTTTTGCCCCCTGTGATGCCATCCTAATTTGGCTTTTGGTGCTCTTAAAATTCTTCTTTGAGACCTATTCTCCCCTGGCACCCCACAGTGTCAGATGGGACCAGCCAGGGAGGAGCCTTCCTAGGGATACAAGGCTAAGACTAAGGAGTGAAAATTATTTCACTTGTGATGCTTTTTTTTTTTTTTTTGAAAGATCTTGATGAAAAGGAGGGAGATGAGCAAAGAAAAGTAGCTCGGAGAAGTCTTAGCTGTGTGAAGTCTGAAAAATTCATCAGGCCCAGAGAGATGTGAGCACGAAACTCCAGCGACCCTCGCGCCTACACCCACACCCTGCCCGGGCAATTGTTTAAAGGCATTTCGTTCCTGTTTCCTGCCTCCCTCACTTTGTTCACGTTTCTGGGATTTGTGACACAAAGAACAATGTACAGCTAGTCAGTAACTTATGTTATTTTATCATAAATTCTTGGTAAACAACTTAGAAACTGCCTCTGTCTTTTTAACTTAAAAACTTGGGCCTCCTAACCTGGGCAACATAGCAAGACCCTGTCTTTATGGAAGTTTTTTTTATTTGTTTGTTTGTTTGGTTTTTTTGAGACAGAGTCTTGCTTTGTCACCCAGACAGGAGTGCAACGGCAGGATCTTGGCTCACTGCAACCTCTGCTTCCTGGGTTCAAGCGATTCTTCCGCCTCAACCTCCTGAGTAGCTGGGATTACAGGCACCTGCCATCATGCCTGGCTAATTTTTTTGTATTTTTGTAGAGACGGGGTTTCACCATGTTGGCCAGGCTGGTCTCAAACTCCTGACCTCAAGTGATCTGCCTGCCTTGGCCTCCCAAAGTGCTGGGATTACAGGCATGAGCCACCGCACCAGGCCAAAAAGTTTTAAGAATTAGCCATATGTGACTGTGCGTGCCTGTAGTTCTAGCAACTCAGGAGGCTGAGGTGGGAGGATCGCTTGAGCCCCAGAGGTAGAGGCTGCAGTGAGCCGTGATTGTGCCACTGCACCCCATCCTAGGCAACAGAGAGAGATTTTGTCTCTGAAAAGAAATAAACAAACAGGCCAGGCGCAGTGGCTCACGCCTGTAATCCCAGCACTCTGGCAGGCCGAGGTGTGTGGATCACTTGAGGTCAGGAGTTTGAGACCAGCCTGGCCAACATGGTGAAACCCAATCTGTACTAAAAATACAAGTTAGTTGGGCATGGTAGTGAGTGTCAGCTACACAGAAGATTCAGGCAGGAGAATCACTTTGAACCTAGGAGGCAGAGGTTGCAATGAGCCAAGATTGTGCCACTGCACTCCAGCTTGGGTGGCAGAAACTCCGTCTCAAAAAAAAAAAAAAAAAAAAGAGGAAGGAGGAACATCAGGAAGACGGGGCATGTGGAGACCTTGGGCCTGCCGCACCCACCCCACCCATGCTCTCTGCCTGCCTGGTCTCCAGCCATGGCTGCCACAGTCAGCTTCCCACTGGTGCCACCTGACAGCCCCTGCCTCAGAGCACCTGTGGCTATCAGATTCTGCCCTGAGGCCTTTCTAGCACAGGTCACCTCCTGGAACCTCCCTGGTGGTCTCAGATGAGACCTGGAGTGCAGGCGTCAGCAGTCATGAGCCCTTGAGTGATGGGTGGGAGGCAGGACATACAGTCCCCTCTCCTCTGTCCCACCTGGCTCCTCAGAAGTCCCTAGAGGACAGCAGCCTCAGGTGCCACCGCAGTGCCAGCCCGATGACGCACCTCAGAGGGGCTCTTCTCCTGCCCTGTCCCATTCTCCATGATCCTCCACTCCGTGCCCTGGAACCACTCCCCAAAACAAGCCACTGCATTCAAGCCCCGTCTTGGGCTCTGCCTTTTGAGAGACCCAGCCTAAGACAGCAGGGGGTGATTATAGAAATAATTCTGGGAAGTTTTGCCAACACAGGGAGAGGGACTGACACCTTTTTCCTGTGAAGACTTACTGACAGTCTTCCTCCGCATGGATAAGTAGATAAAACACAAGCTCCAAAGTGCGGGGACTTTGTCTCCTTCCCTGCTGTGTCCCCAGTGCCTTCAGCCATGCCTGGCACATAGTAGGTGCCCAGGAAACCTGTGTTCAAGGAGGAAGGTGGGGAGGGGCAGCTCTACTGCTCTGGGTCCCCTCCAAACTGGAGCTGCATCTCTTTCCCAAGCGGAGCTGTCCTGGCTTCTGCACTCTTTGGTGTTGCCTCAGGAGGGTTCTAGAACCTTGGAGACTGGGTCTGGGACAGGCAGGACTGGGTCTGAGACGGATGATGCCTGGGGCTTAGCCTGGAGAGGAGGGGCGAGGTGGGTGGGGCCTAAGACACGTGTTGGGAGCAGGGAGGAAAAAGCCTCCTCTGGGCCTGAGTCCTGAGGCCGGGGCTTCTCCCACTCTGGTATGAAGCTCATTGGCCCCTGGTAGGTGTGGGAGGGTTCTCGGGGGTGCTTTGGGATTGAACCCAGAGCATGTCAGGGCCCTCACTCCCTGGAGCCAGCCCTGGAGCGGGCAGAGATGCTGGTAGCAGAACTGGCATTTGGAAATATCCAGGTGAGGACCACAGGGCTCAGCCCAGGGGACTCTGAGCCCCCACCCTCTGCAGAGTCCCCTCAGGCAGGAGGAGGAGAAGCCGAGGGTCTCCTTGGGGAGGGCTCAGCAGGATGGGGCCACGCAGCCCCAGAGGACCAGGCAGGCAGAGTACGAGTGACTGCTGCTGGCACTTACCATGCACTCGCTGTGTGTGAAGCATCGTCTCTTGAAGCCCTCAGCTTGTCCTCACTGCAGGTGAGGAAAGGGAGCATGAGGTTGCAAGTCACACGGCCAAGGTTGCGGAGAGTGACCGAGGAGCCGGGAATTGATCCCAGACCACCCAGCCTAAAGGCTGCGCTCTCACCCCTGAGGCCATGGATGGGAGATGATATCTTAGCGCCAGGAGGGCAAGGCACTTATCTTCTCTATCGCTGGATTCCTTGAAGAGCTGTTCCGCTAACTGCATCCTTCCAGGCTCTCAGGAAAGCAGGCAGGACGCTGGCCACCAGCCCTGGAGAGTTGATGCAGAGGTGAGGGTTGGTCTATCTGGATGACAAGGTTCCTTTCAGATGCAGTCTGAAGGAATGTGAGTGTCAGCGGGGTCTGAGGCTGTTCCCACCATGCCCGAAGCACCGCCAACACCAGCATCCTGGCACCGAGTGGAGACTCCCTGGAAAAGGCTCACTGCCACCCATGGGGCCTCCTCCAGCAAGGACAGAAGATGAACTGGGCTTCCAGTTACTCTGGGAGGCCTGGGGAGGATGACTCTGAGTGCTAAGCCACTAAATGCAGCCCCGGTGAGTCTGGTTTGGCTGGGACACCACAAATGATATGGGCAAAGGCCTGGAGCACTGGCCGTCCAGCCCCCACGCCGCTAGCTGCCTCTGGGAAAGTGTTGGACTCAAGCCCAAGCCTGCTTCGATGCCCTGCTGAGCTGGGCAGTCAACCTCGGCTTAGCCTTTGCTGCCCTGATGGAGTCCCAGCCCTTGGGCTGGCTGCACATGGCAGCGTGGTGGGCACAGGACAGCCGTGGATCAAGACCAAGAAAGGGACAGAGGCCAAGGGCTTTCCCAGCTTCAGTACACCTGCTCAGGACAACTGGTGCTCCAAGCACCACGTAGAGCTCCCAGCCCTGAGATGGGCATCCTCAACTCTTTTAAGGGAAGCATCAGCCCATGCCTGCGGCCCATCCATCCCTGTGCCTGGGCTCAGTGAGGCCACTGGGGAACCTTCCCGTTGGATAAGAGTTCAGAACTACGAAGATTAAGCTGGACCAGATCTGCTCATCCTCACAGTACATTTCAGGAGCATCTCAATGGCTCCCACCCTGGCCTGGAACCCTCCTGTGCTGCCAGGATATCAGGGAGGCCCTGGGCACTGCACGGGGAAGATGGCATTGCTATGGAGCCACTGTTGGCGAAGGTCGAATGGGTGACATTAGAAGTCTAGCTTTTCCTGAGGCTGGGGTCTGGACGTTGGTCTAGATCAGGGGTCAGCAAATTTTTCTTGAAAATGCTGATAGAAAATATCTTAACCTTTGAGGACCACATAGTCTCTGTTGCAATTGCTCATTTGGGCCATTGTAGCACAAAAACAAACATAGATAACACACACATGAGTGAGCATGGCTGGGGTCCAAGAAAACTTTATTTACAAAAGCAGGTGATGAACCAAGGCCTGTAGTGTCCCAACCCTTGATTTAGATGGTGAACCATCATGAGCTTTCAGTTCCCTCTCCGGTAGGAATATGGGAGAAACCACAGAGAGAAACAGAGATTTCAGGAAAACAGTAAAATTAAACAAATAAAGTGAGATGTAGCCCCTCCTGCAGGCTGCAGGCTGTTGTGAACCTGTGTGTGTCTGGGTGTACAGGGATGTGAGTAGATGTGCGTGGAGATGTGTGTGTGGGTGGAGGCTGTGCGTGGCTGGAGGTGGCCATGGCAGGATGCCAGAAGGAAGGAGTTTGCATTCAGTTCCTTTCTTACTACTCTCTGGAGTTGTTGAGGGATGTCACTGCTGAACACTGACCCTGGTGCAGGCTAAACTGAAGTTAGCCTCTGCTACCCTCTGCTGGGTGAGGCACTGGGGAGAACAGTGGGACTGACTGGGGTGGGCTTTCTCCCTCCCTCCCACACTTCCCTGGAAACACCAAGCACCAGCACATTAGAATGTGGGGAGCCACCTCCCCCAGCGCTGCTTCCCAAGGTTGGGAAGGGGACAGTCTGACCTCAAGCTCTGTGTGAAGAGTGATAGCAAAGGGGAGAGGTTGGCGGTGGTCTGGTGGCGCTTATCTCCTTCCTTAGCTTTGAAACCACAGGCTGGCATATTACCCGAAAGAATGACCAGTCCCACCAGGGGAAGGGCACAAGCTCACTGGTTCCAGGGGAGACATCTCAGGGGACAAGGACATCCCCTGATGCTGAATGAGTGGAGCACACAGTTGGAGAATACACACAAGAGAAATGCACGAGGACATGAGAAAAGGCACTGGCAATAGGAAGTTACAAAAAACAACAAAAAGAAAGAGTAGATATAAAAACAATAATCGAAGAAAGCCAATAACAGATGGGATGGATCATACGAGGTATGAGACTTAAGGATGAAGAGGTGAGTGACGAGGTCAGCTGGGGAACTCTCCCAGGAAAGATAAACCAGAAGAAACACAAATGACAGTGAAGTGGCCAGGCGCAGTGGCTCACGCCTGTAATCCCAGCACTTTGGGAGCCCGAGGCAGGCGGATCACTTGAGGTCAGGAGTTTGAGACCAGCCTGGCCAACACAGTGAAACCCTGTCTCTACTAAAAATATGAAAATTAGGTGGGCGTGGTGGCGGGAGCCTGTGATCCCAGCTACCAGGAGGCTGAGGCAGGAGAATTGCTTGAACCCGGGAGGCAGAGATTGCAGTGAGCTGAGATGGTGCCACTATACTCCAGCCTGGGCAGTACAGGGACACCCTGTCTAAAAAAAAAAAAAAAAAAAAAAAAAAGGCAGTAAAGTGATAGGAGATAGATTAGGAGGGCTGTTATCTAGATAGTGCAAGTCAAAGAAGAAGAAGAAGGAGGAGGAGGAGGAGGAAGAGGACGAGGAGGAGGAAGAAGATGGAGAAGAGGGAATCTCAGAAGAAACAATGGAGATACATTTCTCAAAACTGAACAAAGATGACCAACCTCAGACCGAAGGGCCAAGAGGCCAAATCAGAGAGAGAGCTTGGCAAGCCAGGAAGAGCACCAAACCTAGACGATTAGAGTGAAATTAAAGAAAACCCAAGGTGACAAAAATTATAAAAGCTTCCTTGTGATCACAGTTCTTCGGTGAAAATTAAATAATAATAATTTAAAAAAAGGACAGCTTGGGCAACATGGTGAAACCCTGTCTCTATAAAAAATACAAAAATTAGCTGGATGTGGTGGCACACGCCTGTAGTTCCAGCTACTTGGGAGGCTGAGGGAGGAGGATCACCTGAGCCTGGAAAGTTGAGGCTGCAGTGAGCCATGATCCCACCACTGCACTCCAGCCTGAGTGACACAGCAAGGTCCTGTCTCAAAAAGTAAAAAAAGAAAAAGAAAAAAGAAAAGAAAATAGGCTGGGCATGGTGACTCACACTTACAATCTCAGCACTTTGGGAGGGCCGAGACAGGAGAATTGCTTGAGCCCAGGAGTTCAAGATTAGCCTGGGTAACATAGTGAGACCCTGTCTCTCTTTTCTAAAAAATTTAAAAATGAAAAAACAAAAAAAGAGAAAATAATTTTTAAAAAGCTTCCGGAAAGAACAGATGACTCTCAGAATAACAAGATTCCATGTGACATCAGACGTCTCAACAGACACAGTTGATACAGGTAGATTAGAGACGATGTCTCGCTGTGTTGCCCAGGGTGGTCTCAAACTTCTGGGCTCAAGCAATCCTACTGCCTCAGCCTCTTGAGTAGCTGGGATTACAGGCATGAGCCACCTTGTCTGGCTTTTAACAGCATTTTTTTAAATGTTGGATTTTCTCAAGAAATTTGATACATTTACTATCACATTTTTGTAGGTGAAAAAAGATCCAAAAATAACTAAAAGAAAAAGTCAAAAAAAGAAAAGGAAAAAGAAGCTGGAGGATGTGCTTTTCCCGACCAGATTTATAACACCATAGTGATTACAAAAAAAAAAAAAAAAATGTGGTACAGGCACCAGAGCAAATAGACCATGAATACAACGGCACAGAAAACCAACAGGCAGACCCAGTTACCTACGGCAACTCAACACAGGAGGCCAGGTGCGGTGGCTCACACCTAGAATCCCAGCACTTTGGGAGGCCGAGGCAGGTGGATCATTTGAATCCAGGAGTTTGAGACCATCCTGGACAACATGACAAAACTCTGTCTCTACAAAAAAAAAAAAAAAAAAAAAAAAAATTGGCCGGGTGCAGTGGCTCACGGCGGTAATCGCAGCACTTTGGGAGGCCGAGGTAGTTGGATCACCTGAGGTCAGGAGTTCAGGACCAGCCTGACCAACACGCTGAAACCCTGTCTCTACTAAAAATACGAACATTAGCTGGGTGTGCTGGCACGTGCCTGTAGTCCCAGCTACTTGGGAGGCTGAGGCAGGAGAATTGGCGGAACCCAGGAGGTGGGGGTTGCAATGAGTTGAGGTCATACCATTGCACTCAAGCCTGGGTGACAGAGTGAGACTCCATCTCAAAACAAACAACAGAAATTCAGCTGGGCGTGGTGGCATGCTGGGCCTGTAGTCTTGGCTACTCAGGGCGGGGCAGGGAGTGGTGAGGTGGGAGGATCGATTGTGCCCAGGAGGTTGAGGCTGCAGTGAGCTGTCCTTGTGCCACTGCACTCCAGCCTGGGTGACAGAGCGAGACCCTGTCTCAAAAGACACACAAACAAAACAAAAACACGTAAGTCAGATCAGACTGTTCTGTCGATGGTGCTGGGGAAAATGGCTCTTTACTTAGAGAATAATAAAAGCGGTTTCCTAGCCAAGAGCACATGCTAGAGTGGCCTCTAAATACGAAGGAAAAAATGTGAAGGTAAGAGACACAGTTACTAGAAGACAACATAGGAGAATATTGTTGTGACCCAGGGCAGTCAAGAAACACTTTGAAGGCGGGGGGCTGTGTCTCGCGCCTGTAGTGCCAACACTTTGGGACGCTGAGGCAGGAGGATCACTTGAGGCCAAGAGTTTGAGAACAGCCAGGGCAACATACAGCTCTTAAAAAAGAAAAAGACTTTAAAGGAAATTTCTTTTTCTTTTTCACTTTTATTTTAGTTTTGGGGGTACATGTGAAGGTTTGTTACATAAGTAAACTCGTGTCATGGGTGTTTGTTGTACAGAATATTTCATCACCCCAGTATTATGCCCAGTACCCAATAGTTCTCTTTCCTGCTCCTCTCCTTCCTCCCACCCTCCACCCTCGAGTAAACCACAGTGTCTGTTGTTTCCTTCTTTGTGATAATAAGTTCTCTTCATTTAGCTCCCACTTACAAGTGAGAACATGCAGTATTTGGTTTTCTGTTCCTGCATTAGTTTGCTAAGGGTAATAGCCTCTAGCTCCGTCCATGTTCCCACAAAAGACATGATCTTGGTTCTTTTTTACGGCTGCATTAAATGAAGTTTTAAAGGCACAAAACATAAACACCAACCCCTTCTCCACCACAAAAATCCCTTGATGAATTTGATTCCACTTAAATTAAGGAGTTTTGTTTAATGAAGGACTCCTTGGACAAACTTGACAGTTGATGGAATAGGAGAAGCTGTCTGTCATATTGAAAGCCAACAAGAGATCAATATCTAGAATAAATGAAGATCTGCAAATCAACAGAAAGCAGGCATTAAAGCCAAAGAAAACAGCCTAAGGTGCAGCCACTAAAAGGAATGTGATCATGTCCTTTGCAGAGATATGGATGGAGCTGGAAGCCATTAGCCTCAGCAAGCTAACACAGGAACAGAAAACCAGTGAGACCACATGGTCTCACTTGTAAGTGGCAGCTGAACAATGAGAACATATGGTCACATGGAGGGGATCAACACACACTGGTGCCTGTTGAGCGGGGTGCTGGGGAGGGAGAGTACCAGGAAGAATAGCTTACGGATGCTGGGCTTAATACCTGGGCGATGGGATGATATGTGCAGCAAACCATCATGGCACACGCTTACCTATGTAACACACCTGCACGTCCTGCACATGTACCCCAGAACTTTAAATAAAAGTTGAAGGAGCGCCAGGTGCGTTGGCTCACATCTGTAATCCCAGCACTTTGGGAGGCTAAGGAGGGCGAATCACCTGAGGTCAGGAGTTTGAGACCAGCCCGGCCAAGATGGTGAAACCCCGTCTCTACTAAAAATACAAAATCAGTCAGATGTGGCATGCACCAGCTACTCGGGAGGCTGAGGCAGGATAATTGATTGAATCCGGGAGGCAGAGGTTGCAGTGAGCCGAGATCGCGCCACTGCACTCCAGCCTGGGCGACAGAGTGAGACTACGTCTCAAAATAAAATAAAATAAAATAAAAGCCATTTCCACTCCCCTAAGTGACCTCCACCCCTCCCTCTCCCCTGCCCCGCGAATCGCGTGTGCAAGCTCCGGGATCGCAGAGTTCTTAGGGAATCTCCCCTCGCGATGCCCCGAAGAGCCAGTAGCTGTGCGCACTTCATTGCAGTCCTCTTCCTGCTGTCCGTTTACTCCCTGGGCCCCGCTGGGCACCTGGGGAAGAGGGACAGGCTTCCCAGGCCAGCTGCGCGGCGACTCCGGGAGCTCCGAGGCGCCCCTCTGCGGCCGACGCCAGGTGCAGCGGCCGCCGGGACTGGGACCGGCGGGAGCCCGCGGGACCCTCCAGAGGCGCGGCCGGCGCCGTGACTCAGCACTGGGGCGGAGCTGGGCGGGACCACCCTTATAAGGCTCGGAGGCCGCAAGGCCTGCGCTGGAGTTTCGTCGTCGCCGCCGCCGCGTGCGCCATTAGTAAGTCCTCGCGGCCCGCGCCCCCGGGGGATGGGGCTCGGATCTCCCAGCATGGGGCCAACCCACGGCATCAGGCTCGGGCTACTGGCAGGGCCCCTCGCCCACCTCGAGACCCGGGACGGGGTCCCAGAGTACCCAGGAAGTCCCCAGTGCCGTTAGCGGCTCTCAGGGGGCCGCAGCGCCTCGGGCAGGGATGGGACCCGGGGAGGGCAGGCTGCGCGCACCGCGCCTTGGCGTCCTCCCCCGGGCTCCAGCAAACCTTTCTTTGTCCGCTGCAGTGCCGCCCTACACCGTGGTCTACTTCCCAGTTCGAGGTAGGAACCTCTGGCAGGGAGGGGAGGCAGGGGCTAGGGCTGCAGCCCACGGTCCCTCGCGCACGCGGAGAGAACCGAACCCCCCTTATCCCTCCGTCGTGTGACTTTTACCCCGGGCCTCCTTCCCTGTGCCCCACCTCTTCCGCCATGCCTGCTCCCCTCCCCAGTGTTGTGTGAAATCTTGTGTGGAATCTCTGTTCCCCTGTACCCTCCCTGCACTCCTGACCCCTCCTCCGGGTTGCTGCGAGGCGGGGTCTGCCCGGTCCCCACATCTCGTGCTTCTCCCTCCCCACAGGCCGCTGCGCGGCCCTGCGCATGCTGCTGGCAGACCAGGGCCAGAGCTGGAAGGAGGAGGTGGTGACAATGGAGACCTGGCAAGAGGGTTCTCTCAAAGCCTCCTGCGTAAGTGACCATGCCCAGGCAAGGGGAGGGGGTGCTGCGCCTTAGGGGGCTGTGACTAGGATCGGGGGACGGCCAAGCTCAGTGCCCCTCACTGAGCCATGCCTCCCCACACAGCTGTATGGGCAGCTCCCCAAGTTCCAGGACGGAGACCTCACCCTGTACCAGTCCAATACCTTCCTGCGTCACCTGGGCCGCACTCTTGGTGAGTGTTGAACCTCCAAGTCCAGGGCAGGAATGGGCAAGCCTCTGCCTCCGGAGCCCTTTTATTTCAATCAGCTGCCCCGCAGCCCTCTGGAGTGGAGGAAACTCAGACCCACTGAGGTTGTGTAGCTTGCCCAAGGTCAAGCCTGGGTGCCTGCAGCCCTTCCCCTGTGCCAAACTGCCTCTCAGGTGCCAGTTGAGCTCTGAGCACCTCCTGTGTGGCAGTCTCCCATCCTTCCACGCACTTCCTCTTCCCCTCCTCCCAGGCCGGGGCTCACAGACAGCCCCGTGGTTGGCCCATCCCCGGTGACTGTGTGTTGATCAGGCGCCCAGTCACGCTGCCTGCTCCCCCCCACCCAACCCCAGGGCTCTATGGGAAGGACCAGCGGGAGGCAGCCCTGGTGGACATGGTGAATGACGGCGTGGAGGACCTCCGCTGCAAATACCTCTCCCTCATCTACACCAACTACGTGAGCATCTGCACCAGGGCTGGGCACTGGGGGCTGAACAAAGAAAGAAGCTGCTTTTGCCCTCACCCCCCTACCCCTCACGTGGCTCGGGCTGACCCCTCCTTGGGTCAGGGTGCAGGGGCTGGGTCAGCTCTGGGCCAGGGGCAAGACACAACCTGCACCCTCATTGCCTGGGACATGAACCAGTCAAGTAACGGGTTGTGGGGGAGAGTGCAAGGACAGAGACCTCCAGCAACTGGTGGTTTCTGATCTCCTGGGGTGGCGAGGGCTTCCTGGAGTAGCCAGAGGTGGAGGAGGATCTGTCACCAGTTTCTGGATGGAGGTGCTGGCACTTTTAGCTAAGCAAAGTATGCAGACACAGAGCACATCTGGGGACCTGGGACCAGTTTAGCAGAGGCAGAGTGTGTATGTGTGTGTGTATGTGTGTGTGTGTGTGTGTGTGCGTACACTTCCTTGTGTGTCGGGGGTGGGTAAGGAGATAGAGATGCGGGGAGCAGGCCCAGGTCCCGAAGGCCTTGAACCCACTGGTTTGGAGTCTCCTAAGGGCCCTGGGGGCCATGGAGAAGTCTGAACAGGGCTGTGTCTGGATGTGAGGTCTGGAAGGATCCTCCAGAGAAGCCAGCTCTGAAGCTTTTGCAATCATCTGGTGAGAAATCCCAGCAAAGATGGACAGGCAGAATGGAATAGAGATGAACTGGCAGCTGAAATGGACAGGATTTGGTACTAGCCTGATTGTAGGGAGCGAGCAGAGGAGACTCTGAGACTCTGGTTTCTGGCCTGGGGCAGACAAAGGGGGCGTCTCAGGGGCTGGGAGGGATGAGAGTAGGAGGATGATACATGGTGGTGTCTGGCAGGAGGCAGGCAAGGATGACTATGTGAAGGCACTGCCCGGGCAACTGAAGCCTTTTGAGACCCTGCTGTCCCAGAACCAGGGAGGCAAGACCTTCATTGTGGGAGACCAGGTGAGCATCTGGCCCCATCCTGTGCCTTCCTCGCCACCGTCTGCTTACAGATGGACATATGTGTGAGCCATTTGTTCAAGCAAAGTGGGGCAGACCTAGGGGATGGGATTAGGCCCTCTGCCCCCAGTTTCCCCAGCCTGCTCCCGCTGGCTGAGTCCCCGGCCCGCCTGCCCTGCAGATCTCCTTCGCTGACTACAACCTGCTGGACTTGCTGCTGATCCATGAGGTCCTGGCGCCCGGCTGCCTGGATGCGTTCCCCCTGCTCTCGGCATATGTGGCGCGCCTCAGTGCCCGGCCCAAGCTCAAGGCTTTCCTGGCCTCCCCTGAGCACGTGAACCTCCCCATCAATGGCAACGGGAAACAGTGAGGGTTGGGGGGACTCTGAGCGGGAGGCAGGGGCTGCTTGCCTCCCTTTCTCCAGGACCAATACAATTTCTAAGAAAGCTGCTGTGAGCACTGTCTTTCCTGGGAAGGGGTTCTCAGCTCTCAGCCTGGAGGTTGGGGGGAGGGCAGAGCAGAGGGCTAGAAAATGCTGCTCTAGCATAGTCAGTGGCTTCCTGGAGCCCTCAGCCTGGCTGTGTTTACTGAACCTCACAACCTGGAATTGGAAAAAAAAAAGAAAAAGAGAGAGAAACAAAGAGAAATAACCATGGTCACCGTCCTGGAGCACCACACAGTGTAGAGAAGGAGAAGTGTCACATGGAAACATGCTTTCTAGGCCCAGCAGGCACCTGTCAGAGGGACAGATTCCAGGAAGGAGGGCAATGAGGGGTTTTAGGAAGGAGGGATGTGAGGAGTTCCCTGTCCTGGGACTTTGGAGGATTAGCTGAGTAGCTCCAAGCAGCCCAAGTTGATGGGAGGGTCATTCTGCTTGGATGGGGGCTCTCCTGGCTTCCTGCTGAATTGTGAGTTTTGGTGTGTCCTAGGCAAGCAATGACATTAGGATTATTAGGATTCTCCAGAGAAACAAAGCCATTAAGATACTGTAGGGCAGGCAAAATTTTATCTCTGTCCTTTTAGGGTTTTTTGGCTGGGCCTGAGAACTAAAGATTTGAGCAGGAGAAAAGCATTGAAATTTATCTAGGCTGGGCATTGTGGCTCATGCCTGTAATCCCAGCACTTTGGGAAGCTGAGGCAGATGGATCACTTGAGGTCAGGAGTTGAAGACCAGCCTGACCAACATGGTGAAACCCCATCTCTACTAAAAATACAAGAATTAGCCAGGCGTGGTGGTGGGTACCTGTAGTCCCAGCTACTTGGGAGGCTGAGGCAGGAGAATTGCTCTCGCTCTCTCGCCACCTTGATAAAGATGTGCCTGCTTCCCCTTCACCTGATTGTAAGTTTCCTGAGGCTTCCCAGTTATGCTTCCTGTTAAGCCTGCAGAACTGTGAGTCAATCAAACCTCTTTTCTTCATAAATTACCCAGTCTCGGATAGTTCTTTACAGCAGTGTGAGAATAGACTAATACACTGTTTTGTTTTGTTTATTTTTGAGATGGAGTCTCACTCTAGCGCCTAGGCTGGAGTACACTGGTGCAATCTCTGCTCACTGTAACCTCCGCCTCCCAGGCTCAAGCAATTCTCCTGCCTCAGCCTCCTGAGTAGCTGGGATTACAGGTGCCCACCACCATGCCCAGCTAATTTTTGTATTTTTAGTAGAGATGGGGTTTCGTCATGTTGGCCAGGCTGGTTTCAAACTTTTAACCTCAGGTGATCCACCTGCCTTGGCCTCCCAAAGTGCTGCAATTATAGGCGTGAGCCACTGCGCCCAGCCTAATACACTATATTAATCAGAAACTGCCAGCTAACCTCTAACTTGGGACTTTTCACTCTAACCAGTCAAAATTGTTTTCTGTGGCTTCTGCAAATCCATGATTAGGTTTTGCTTCCTGTCTAAGAGAGGCACTAGCTGCTTTCATCTGCTGCCATCTTAATCCATGTGTCACTGAATGCTCAAACTCTTTAAAATGTAAATGGGCTTAAGTTTATATTTCAGCAGATCTGATGTCAGAAGTAGGATCCTTCAAAAGGACATCAGAAGGATCTGAAGGATTTCTCCCCATGCTGGGCCTAATGATGGCCTCCAGGAGCAATGAGCAAACAGGTGTAGGCATTTCACTGAGCCCCCTGCATGCCGCTTTCCACAGCATATTTGAAGGTCATCACTGGTAATTCCCACTCAGATGTATTAGTCCCTTCTCACACTGCTGTAAAGAACTACCTGAGACTGGGTGATTATAAAGAAAAGAGGCTAAGCCGGGTGTGGTGGCTCATACCTGTAATCCCAACACTTTGGTTTGGTTTTGTTGTTGTTGTTTTTTGAATCAGAGTCTCACTCTGTCGCCCAGGCTGGAGTGCAGTGGCACCATTTCAGCTGCAAGCTCCACCTCATGGGTTCAAGTGATTCTCCTGCCTCAGCCTCCCAAGTAGCTGGGATCACAGGCACACGCCACCACGCCTGGCTAATTTTTGTATTTTTGGTAGAGACAGGGTTTCACCGTGTTGGCCAGGCTGGTCTCAAAACTCCTGATCTCAGGTGATCCACTCGCCTTGGCCTCTCAAAGTGCTGGGATTACAGGCGTAAGCCACTGCACCCGGCCAATCCTAGCACTTCAGGAGGCCGAGGTGAGCAGATCACTTGGGGTCAGGAGTTGGAGACCAGCCTGGCCAACATGGTGAAACCCCGTTTCTACTAAAAAGACAAAAAAATTAGCTGGGCATGGTGGCACATGCCTATAATCACAGCTACTCAGGAGGCTGGGGTAGGAGAATCCCTTGAACCCGGGAGGCAGAGGCTGCAGTGAGCCGAGATCATGCCTCTGCGCTCCAGCCTGGGTGACAAGGCTTGATTGACTCACAGTTCTGCATGGCTGGGGAGGCCTCAGGAAACTTACAATTGTGGTGGAAGGCGAATGGGAAGCAAGGCACGTCTTACGTGGTGGCAGGGGAGGTGAGGGGGGATGTTCCACGCACTTTTAAACCAACAGAGCACATGAGAACTCACTGTCAGGAGAACAGCAAGGGGGAAATTCGCCCCCATGATCCAATCACCCCCCACTAAGCCCCTCCCTCAACACGTGGAGATTAGAATTCAAGATGAGATTTGAGTGGGGACAAAACCAAACCATATCACATACAAACTCCAGAACTTTAATTGAATTTTGCTGATCTGGACTGGGTTTGGAAGTTGTGATGGAAGTTTAACGAATCCTATAGGGAGGCTTCAGGTGTCTGACTGGGTCAGACAGAAACTGAAATGGTTTTAGTAAAAGACCTCTAATAGGTAAGGTTCCAGGAAAACAAACAATTCTGGGTTCATTTAAATCCAGGGGGTCTGGGACTCCATCGCAGGACTCGTGCTCTTCTAGAGAAATGAGTGAATCTTACCAAAAATAATTTAGAATTTTAGTGGCCACAGTGGGGAAGTTTTAACCTGAACAAAACTGCTCATCTCCAGACTGCATTGAAAAAAAAGAGGGAGGATCCCAAACACCCCAGAAATAATGGGATGTATTTTTGGTTGGCAAGCAGAGGCTTCTAAGTTCTCCCTCTTTCTCACTAGCCGCCTCTGCCTCCTCTGAATCTGCTGACTTCTTTGCTTGGTTACTTTCCCACCTTGACAATGCAATGAAAAAAACCCAGCTAGATAAGTTATAAAAGTTAGGCTGTCAAATCAACCATGTCTGTTTCTTTAACTACCCTTATGCCGTGGTTAAAATCTTAAGCTCAGAGCAATAATGAAAGGTATTCCTGTCCGGCATAGAAAATGCTTTGTCTGCCCTATTTGTGAATGGGCTCCACCCTGACCTCAGTAATCTAGTTACACATATGTTGATAGGGACCTGAGGAAGCTCAAAGTTAGATGCAAGAGCAGAATGGTACTGCTCTGAGGACAATAGCCAAGGTCCACAAGCCCCTATTTGGTCCATATATAGGCCAGAAAAAAACACAAACTTTTGGCCAGGCACAGTGGCTCACACCTGTAATCCTAGCACTTTAGGAGGCTGAGGCGGGCAGATCACGAGGTCAGGAGATCGAGACCATCCTGGCTAACTTGGTGAAACCCTGTCTCTACTAAAAATACAAAAAAATTAGCCAAGTGTGCTGGCAGGCGCCTGTAGTCCCAGCTACTTGGGAGGCTGAGGCAGGAGAATGGCATGAACCTGGGAGGTGGAGCTTACAGTGAGCCGAGATCATGCCACTGCACTGTTTTTTATTTGTTTGTTTTGTTTTGTTTTGTTTCTTTGAGATGGAGTCTTGCACTGTCACCCAGGCTGGAGTGCAGTGGTGTAATCTCAGTTCACTGCAGCCTCGACCTTCCAAGCTCAAGCGATCCTCCCATCTTAGCCTCCTGAGTAGCTGGGACCATAAGCACATACCACCCTGCCAGGCTAGTTTTTATTTTTTGTAGAGATAGGAATTCAAGCTGTCCTGAATATATGTTCTGATTATCAGCAGATACAAGGGATTTTTTTGTTTTGTTTCATTTTTTTGGTTATTTATTTATTTATTTATTTTTGAGATGGAGTCTCACTGTGTTGCCCAGGCTGGAATGCAATGGTGTAATCTCAGCTCACTGCAACCTCTGCCTCCCGGGTTCAAACGATTCTCCTGCCTCAGCCTCCCGAGTAGCTGGGACTACAGGTGCCCGCTATCATGCCCAGCTAATTTTTGTATTTTTAGTAGAGATGGGGTTTCACCATATTGGCCAGGCTGGTCTCGAACTCCTGACCTTGTGATCTGCCCACCTTGGCCTCCCAAAATACTGGGATTACGGATGTGAGCCACCACACCTGGCCACAAAGGGGGGTTTAAAGAAAAAAAGAATGGGTGGCTTCTTAGCTAAAAATTAACTATTGATTGGATATACATTGTTCTTCCTATCACAAATTTCAGGACTCAATCTCCTGGGCTCAAAAAACAGAATTTAGTGAAGGCTCAAGGCCAAATTGATTAGAAACACAGAGGAACAAAGCAATGGGAACTCAGTTGAGCCATCTGCTTACAAAGGAGCCATGACATGTGAGAGCATTTCTAAGCATCTAGCTATCATGATTTTATTTTTTGTTGTTGACTTAAGACATCTAGAAATGCAAAGCATAATCAATTTAAGAATAAAAAGTACTGGCTGGGCACGGTGGCTCATGCCTGTAATCCCAGCACTTTGGGAGGCCAAGGTGGGTGGATCACCTGAGGTTAGGAGTTCAGGACCAGCTTGGCCAACATGGTGAAACCTGCCTCTACTGAAAATACAAAAATTAGCCAGGTGTGGTGGCGCATGCCTGTAATCCCAGCTACTCAGGAGGCTGAGGCAGGAGAATCTCTTGAACCCAGAGGCGGAGGTTGCAGTGAGTTGAGATGGTGCCAC